GGTAGCAGGGTGAAGACGCCCGTTCCCGGAAGAGGAGGTGAGGTGCGGCGTTGCCTTCTCTGTCTGGGTCTTAGCCCTTTCTTTTATCCTCCTGCCCTCTTTGCCTGGGTTGGGATTCGAAAGAGCTGTTACAAGGGGTACCTATACTGACAAGGGAGCACCACCGTCTCTTTATCTTAGCGACCTCTTTTTTTCGTTCAGCCCGTCAGAACAATGGTAGTCGTTTCTCGCACTTCTTTAAATAATTTTCTTTAAGTAAGCTGCTTAGATAACAGTATCTTGAGTTTCCCGCTGCGGTCAATTAAACTGGCTTGAATTGCAACACAGTATTTCCTTTACTAGAGAGCTGAACCACGTTCAGTTGGTTATGGGGTTTGGTTTTGTGTTTGGGTTTTTGTTTGGTGGTTGTTGGTTGGTTGGGTTGGGTTTTTTTGGCCCGGCCTTTGAAATAGTCTTAAGTGCTGTTGTCCTCGCTGTGTTGTAAGAATGTTGTGATCCTACAGTGCCACACTGCTGTTTGCCATCCTTTACATAGAACTGCTGTTAACACCAGTCTCCTGGCTCCGCGTCCCCCCCCCCCCTCCCCGGACGAGACCCCTGAACAGCTCCTGCATACTGAACGTGTGTGCATCAACCAGTTAACAAGACTTGATTGTACGATCAAAGTCTGTATTTTGGCAGGCAGAAAAAAATGGTTCAAATTGTTTTGGTTTTTTTCAGTGGAAAAACTGTAAAAAGAATCAGACATTGTTTTAACACTTGCTGAAATGCATTCTGAAGTACATATATCTCCATTATGCATAAATTGGGAAGAAGGTAACATGAGTTTCAGTAATGTACATGTTCAGTCATGAATCCTAACAAAAGCCCAAACAACAACCAAACAAAACTTAAAATGCTGATTTGAATAAGGCATAACTTATTTGTTAAATGTTGGTTTTCAAAAAATATCTGTAGATAGTTTGATTCATCTGGTCTTTAAAATTACGTGTTTTCCCATGTTATGCCAGATTCAGTACATTCTAAGATAACAGCAAAGCCTCTTCTGTCAGACTTCTGAGTGAACTTATGCTAAAATCTAAGTGAATGATTTTTTTTTTTGAAAGATCATCTCTATGCATTGCAATACTGATTTGTCCAATGCTGATTTAGGAAAAAAAAAAACCAAACCACTAATAATGTGGGGTTTTTTCAGCTGTCACAGTTTTGTAAGATTTAAAAAACCACAAACAAATCCAAAAAAACCCCCAGTACTGTAAATATTTTTGTACCAACCATGAGAAAATGTCATGCAGGTAATGGGTCATCTGAGAACAATACTGAAGTCTTTTGTCTTGTGGGTCAATTTTTAATGTCATAGAAGGAACAGAAACGTTTGGGTTTGTATGTCTCTTAATACCTGGAGTTTTGTAAGTTTTAAGTGGGAAAAACAGTTTATATTCTAATTCATTTTTTTACCTTAAAAAGGGATTATCCAAGCTAGATTAAGGATGTTGGTTTTAGTCATCTCAAGAGAATTGAAAATAAGTAAAATAATTTATTGAAACTAAAGAATGATCTGAGATTTTTGCAGGACTTAAAAATGTAGATAAATCTTCAGATACCTATATAAAAGAAACTGCAGATAACAAAAATGTCCCAGGTTATTGTATGATTTCTGAGAGTTGAACCCCATAAATTCAAAGAGAGATCATTCTCAAGCAGAAGCATTTTTGAGCATGGTTCTTTGTTTTCTTTTCTTGTCCTTTTTTTTTAAAAAGAATGCTGAGCTTTAAAAAAATATTTTCATAAACACATGTGAAGTTTCATATATGGATTTTAAAACTGATGGGCAAATGCAAGATAGAGCTGAGTTACAGCATTCTTTTATAAATCTAGAATTCATTAGAATATGAAATTATGCATTGTAAAGTGACTTCTGTTGTATTATTTCAGTCCAACAATGTAAACAAGTATTTTTATTGGTGTTGCAAGTAATGTCATTGTGGAAAATAACAATATCGATACAAACTTGTTTTCAAAACAGACTGATTTTTATTTCACCTTATACTTTGAAGGGCTTTTATAGAATTACATTAAATGTTGTTGTTTGGATATCTCCATTTGTAGTAAGAAAAATAAAGTTTTCTAAGCTATATATTTATATATTGCTTTCTGAATAAAAACTGATTGAATTTTTTTTTCAGTTAAATGATATACAATTTAATGTGTCTGTTTTCAAAAGTTTGTGTTTCCCCCCC